AACACATAAAATAGTACATTTAATGTTGGCCTGCTGACAAACCCTATTAAAGTTTCTTTGTGACAAATATAAAAATAGTTTTCTAAATATAGAAATCTTTTCTCAATATGTTTTTATACCATTTTCCTTGATTTACCAGTGTGGACAGAAATCGCTGCAATGCACAGAAAATGCATTAAAAGCTGCGTGAAGTAGATTTTTCTCCAAGTACCAAAACAGGGATCAGTTTGTGGCAGAAGAAAATGCTGAACTGATTGCTATCCTATTCTGTGTTATTTCTGAGCATTTGTGGACAATGTACATTCAGAGGAAACAAATCCTTAGGTTCAAAAATTTTTGACTGAGATGTGGAGCTAGTATTATTTAAATATACTTCACACTGCACATTACACAATGATGTCTGTATGAGAAAAATGAGAGAATGTGTTTGATCTGAACTCCAGAGGTCAGCCTTGTAAGTCTGACTTCTCTTTTTGACATCTCCAGGGGCTTTTTGAAATGTCAAATGCCATTCTAGCTTGCAGTGATTTTAACATTTGCCTGGTACTTGAATTTCTACTGCTGTTATTACCAGCTATATAGAATTGTTGTAATTTATAGAGAGACAGTGAATAGTCATATATGAAACTAAATCAGATGTTAAAGGGTCAGTTCACCCCTTTTAAAAAAAAAAAAGCAGCCAATATGCACAATAGCATTGCCGTAAAATATTCAGATTTTAAAATGATGCCTCTCCATCAATCTACTTATATAGAAATAATTTTTTTAAGCCTGCAAAAATATGTTATTATTTACACAAACAGTAGGATAGACAAGACATATAACAAACATACATAAATATTGTAATGTATCTTTATAATTACCAGTTAAATTGCACCAGGGGTCCTCATTCTGGTGTTCAACAGACTAATTGTTCCTCCAGAGTCCGAACTAATATAGGACTGGCTTTCATAGGCTTACATGGAATAGCATGGATTTGTGGGCCTGTGTTACTAATCTTTTCAAATAAGAATAGTACTCTGGAGATTGTATTGTTTTCATATGTCCTTGGTTACCAAAACCTAGCCCCTTTAAATGCAAGTTTTTAATGAATTAACCAACCAGAATCCTGGAGGGTACATTAAAAAATGCACAGTTGTTTCTAAGGCTTGTCCTAGGTTATACCATTAAAAGTCTGGGCAACCTTATTGCTTATCTAATCAAGGGTTTTAAAACTGGTAGCTGAAGACAAATGAGATTTGCGCCCATGTCTAGGTAAGTAAATCTGGCACCATTGTCTAGATAATTAAATCTGGCACCAGCTTGTCTGTGGGACCTGTTGTCCTTTAAATAGAATACTGTATCATCTGTAATTAATAGGATGCAACCTAGCATACCAATAATTATGTTCATAAATCCCCAGAAGCAATCAAAGAGATGAGATAAGGAAGCATATTCTTAGTAATCCAATATAATCAATTTAAATAAAATAAATGTAACTATAAAAATTATAGGTCTATGGGGATTTTACATAAACCTCATATGATAATAGTCACCCATTGTGGCCAGTGAAACTAGGCCACACATATAATAATGGTTTATTTAATCTCCATTATAATGTTAAGCTTTCCTAATGTATAGTAATGTATAGTCCGTCACTTGCTCTCTATGTAATATGTCAATAATAGGAAAAAAAATCAAGCATTCTAATTCACAACCTCCCATTATCAAAGTCCACATTGCAGTCTTGTCCTGTTGTACTTTCTTCTTGATCATCCTCCTGGCATAATTTTGACTTGGTACCACTGACTCAGTATAGGCCTTTGGATCAGCTTGTATGGATTCCTAATTTGTTCTTAATTAGCATGTGAAAAAATACAATAAAAGGAATTCATAGTTACATATAGGTGAGGTTGAATATAGACACAGGTCCAATAGGTTCAACCTATGTAGTGTGTGTAAGTGTGTAAGGCATTTTGTAGCAATTCCTATAACACTGTATATTCTGTGAACTGAGGAACTCATGCAAGTGTTTTTGAAGCTGTTAAAGCATCCCTACTTTAAGGCTGTCAACAAGTTCATCCCATTTTTTATTGCTCTATATATGGATGGGTTATCAGTGTCCCAAATTACAGTCTCATCTGTGTGTTTAGGCATGACCTGTGGATTGAATGTATTTAAAAATGTAGTCAGGCAATATAAAATTCTTTTGAAGGGTTCTGTGGACATGGATTTGTTATTATTATAGTGCATATCTAGGAATTGGCTTGTCTGAGAAATTCTTCACCGAAACAGACCTGAAATGGCAAAGAGCAATATATATGATTGTAGTATTGTATAGAGCTTAAGTTGCACTAATATTTGATAGGAATTTAAAAATATCTAAACAATTGTGTTTTGTTGCATGATTCTGCCTCACATTATTATATCTGTTATCCAGTATATACCTACATTATAGAAGTATGTACTTTTTATACTGACAAGAATGACATATACTGTCTCTACCAATTAATACTGGGTCAGAAACTGTGTTTTGGGTTGATGGTTATTAAAAAAAACTTGTCAATGAGAGATATTGTACTGGTTTACTTTTACACAATGTGTTAATAATGTTTGGTGACATTTAATTACATATTAATAATGACAAAAGAACAATGTACAATAGAACAGCGTATGATTTGTAACCACTCTGCACTATTTAGCACTAACAATCAGATTGCACCCCTTAGAAGGCACTTTGTGCCAAATCATGTAGAGTTTTTGTTTGATTTGAGAGCACTTCTTTGTTTGATTTATCTGGGAAGTGGTGGTCTCATTTAGAATGATGAAAAAGTAGGAGTTTTTATAGTGTCAGAACAAGAATAACTGAATAGTCCTTAAGGCAGGAGCAGCTATAATAGGAGGCATTATGAAGTAGACAGATTGGATATTGTACAGAAAGTACGGATTATGAAAAGTGGAAGAAATATTAGTCAGATCAAGAGTAGATTAAAGTAATATATAGCACTGCTTATATGTGTTGAGAAATGTAAATAGATGTAGCAGAACAAGGCATTACAAGAGAACATAGACATAGATAGTATTTACAATGTACTGTATGTAGTGTTATGCTAATTTCACACAGAAATGTAGAGTAGCTCCCTCTAATAGTGGAAAATTATAGGGAGAATGTTCATTCCTAGCAGGATACACAAATGGTGCAGATCAAATTGGGAAAATATATATAGTATTTTACAGAATCTTAAAAAAAGTTAAGTTTTAGTGCCATGAGGGGTGAGATGCACGAGTGAATAAAGTGCATCACTGGCAAAATTGAAACAATGACAAATGAACCACACAGTAAACCAACATTGCTCAAAAATATATGCACTTGCATTGTAGTTCTAGGGTCCTCTGTTCTATTCCCACCAAGGATAACACACATTGGCTACACCTTGTGTGCATGTTTGTTGCAATATTTTCAGAGACAAGAACTAATATAAATTGTTCAATTTCCTGTGCTCAGTTCTCCAGGTAAAGTGCTAGCCCTATATAAAGTAAAAAAAGTGAAAACAAAATCAATTATATCATATGATCAATATGATATATTACTACACTGGTCAAAGCTCATATATTGAAATCAAGGCGGAGGATGCTTAAAAATATACCATACCTAAGCAGACAGTTTTTACCAGCTAAGATTGGTAGATGATGCCCCAGGTTTCTGCATGATTTTGGATTCTATTATATTACGTGGGAACTTAGTCTAGCAAAAAAGTAATCTTTGTTTTATGCACTTTTGAAAGCTGCACCTGGCATCATACAGGCCAATTTGGATATGAAATATCTTCAGTTATTGTTTTGTAGGCCTTACCTTGATGTTATTGGAGCCTGTTTAATCACTTAAGGACTACAATACATATATAAATGGAAAGGTCATTGAGTGGTTATACCAAGATTGTGTTTTACAACCATTATCTTGGTACCGTTCTTGCTAAAGGGCTTCAATATACAAGTTTTCAGGCAGCTGTAGAGTTGTCCCATTACTTATGTGCAGCTTCAGAGTGTGCCCACCTCTGCTGCCGGCTAACCCAAACTCCACTGTACCTGTGCAGACCCGGGACCAACATAGCAGGTGTTCATGGCTGGATTGGAGGGAGATGAGCACATTTCCAGTGGACATCAGAGTGAGAGCAATACTTTTGGTGCCATCACTTACAGTTGACTCTAAATTGATGAGCAGCAAATGCTTTTAAAGTTTTGTCTATGGGAAATTGTGGATACTGTAGTTTTTTAATTATGGCTTTGATATAGGCTTGATATGTATGATATCTATTTACCTGATTCAACCCTATCTTTTATATTTTACCAAAAATGGGTATTATATTCTGTTCATGTGTGCTAAAATTCATTATAGTTAAATTTTTCCTAAATATGGTAATTGGATAAACATTTGCACAAATATTGTGTGTGCAGAAAATTACAACCAGTGCTTTGAGAAGGGTTCTTCCTCTTCGTGACTTAATGCTGCAATGTATAGTAGGGAGTACCAGCATGAGTAGGGAATCACTTGCTAAAAGGATACAAATCTGTAAGTGGAACTTCCAGCCTGGTATTCTTTCAGGAGGTTGATGCTGCTAGATGTAATTATAGAAAAATAACTGATTTGCAGGAAAAAGAATGTAGATTATTTGTTTGGTTTTAATAAGAGTCAATTGGTACATGCTTTGAGTACCACCACTATCCTGAAAGCTGGATTGCAAGAGAAGGAAATAGCCATAATTTTACATCTAGCTGCTTAGATCAAGATTCTAGGACTCTTTGGTATAGAAAATATTAAACTATGTCATGTTCAGAAATGCTAGAACACGTCAAGTCTTGTACAATTTCAGTGTGCACTTATTAATCTTACATAAGTCACTTTTTTCTGCACTATTTTCAGAAACAAGCTACTTATTTTCCAAGACACATTGACCATTTTATAGTATTCCTATGTCATATATTATTTATTTTCATTTTCTACCTTTTTTCTTTTTTTTTAGAAATTGACAAGGGTGGGTGTGGTGACCCAGGAATTCCAGTATATGGGAAAAGGAGTGGAAACAGCTTCCTCCATGGAGACATATTGACATTTGAATGTCAAGCAGCTTTTGAACTTGTTGGAGAAAAAACAATCACATGTCAACAAAATAATCAGTGGTCAGGAAATAAGCCAAGTTGTGTTTGTAAGTGTTTTAGGTGTATATAAAAACAATAACACAGTTGAGCATTTTACTTGGAGAGTATTATGCCTATGTGTTTGGTTGAAGCATCTAAAAGGATAAATAATATTGAAAATCAATATTTGAAAAGGAATTAATTATTTGATGTGGTGACTATAACTGGGATAGTGTGTTATACCTATTGATATATGATGTTAAATCACTGAGATTGCAATAAAGCTTTGTTCCTGATTAATACACAATCATGTGTGAGGAAAAAAAACATGTTCTTTTTCCATGATTCGATGCATGAAGGAAACATATCTTATTAGACTAAGTGAATCAGCCCCATTAAATATGCATATGTTTAACATGATTACTAAGGATTATTCTGTTTAGCTGTGCATCTCCTGGATCATTTACAAAACAAAGCTCTTGCATTAATAATTTATCATTGTTACAGTTACTTTTCTAGTTTGGGTCATAGTGACTACAACAGTTTAAAAATATGTTAGCTTGTCAGAATAAGATTTTTATAGTGCAAAGAGCAAAAACCTACTAGATATTTTGGGGTTGATTTTTTTTAAGGTAAATAGGCCTTTCAATTTGCTTTTTCCTTAGCTTAGTAAATGTTGTAAAAATTCACTTTGCAAAGAATACCTAATCACATGCAGCAAAGTTTCACCTCATTCAGTAAGCTAAAGAAAAATTCCCTTGCAAAGTGAATATTTTATTTCAAATTATTGCCTTTAGTATATCAACCACATTATCTCAATCCAGTTAAGGCATCAACAGAACAATAATAAAATTATGGTCCTTTAACTAAAATATTATTTAATTGAAGATAAACATAACTGCGCAGTTTGATTGGTTGACTACAAACAACATTTCAGCACTAAGTGCTGTTAATAAAGCCCAGGTTTGTCTATGCAAATTTGGCTTCTGTGCCCATTCAAGCAAATGACAGGTTTTTATTGACAACAATGGTCCATGACTGTCCATAGGAACTCTCTCTCTCTCTCTCTGCGTCCAGGGACAAGCATCACTCCTTATCTGCAGGTAACTGTTCCATGTATGATAACATATGGACAGCCACGAACAGATGTGACCGCTATCAGACTTAATTTACCTGAATAGGCACAGTGGCCACATCTGTACATACACACTGCCTGCCACAAGAATCTGCAGGTTCTTGCCACTGGAATCCCCAGGTGCAGCTTAGAACACTGTGTTCATAAGCCCTAAGTCTCCAATTCTTGCTTGGTAGTCAGACAGTGGGATATTTAACAGCTAGCCAGGCTGAAGAGAGCACAATTTCAAGCATTAGGCAAAGGATGTCCCATTTCTTCCTAGCAAGTGGAAAGATTTATTTAGAAGTATACAATTCATTTATATACAGGCTCTAGGAGCCTGCTTAACAAAATAATAAAATAAACTGCAGAATCTGTTAATATCTGATATTTGCCATTAAAATAGCTCAAAAACAAATAATCCATTAAAGATTTTATAGATAATAGAATCATGCCAAAAAAATCTATCACTAACACTCCCCCTCCTGGCCTAATCAATTGCAGCTGCTATATACCCACCCCACAGCTACACACAACAAAAGGATGGGGAATGCCCCTCCATAACTGATTGGGCTGGGGTGTGTTTTGGTGACAGTTTTGAGCAGGGTTGGGCAAACATGGTCCTGCACGTCACTAGTGATGAATGTGTATCAGAGCTCAAAACAGTCCGATAGGTTGATCCTCTATTTCAACAATCACAATGTAGTTTGTCATTAGACAATGCAAAGTTTTGCCTTTCAATAACAATCCTGATACAAAGGATTATGCTGGGTGAATAGTCTAATGTGTGTTCTGACCCCTGTTCTGAGACTCATGTAGAAGGCCATAGCAGTATTCTGTTCAATCACTTAATGTGCTTCAGGTATGATGGAAAACAAGGAAAACAACTTAACATCGGCTAAAATCAGCCGTAGATCAGCTGCCTTCAGTCAATGCTCTCCATGTTTCGCTGAGCTGAAGTGCAACATCCAACATCTGGATCGGCATCTGAAGCTCCGCCAGCTCACTCGCTACCAGTCGCCCATTATCTCATAGGGGCCGAACAGCAGTAAGTGAATTTGGCTTGGCTATTCTACTCGGTAGCTTGGAGGTACTGAGCAGAATAAATAAAGAGTGAAATTAATTTAAAAAAATAGAAAAAGTATTTCAAATATGAAAGAAAATAGAAAAATTAAAATAGTTTAAAGAAGAACTAAATTTAAAAATATTTTTTTTTAAAGCTGGCAACGATGCCAGCTAAATAAAAACAATTGGGTGGAGCTAGCAGTGACAGCAAGCTCTGTCCAACTGTTTCTCATTGGCTGGCACCTAGCAGGTCCTGGCCAATTAATAACAACTGGGCGGAGCTAGCTGTGACATAATGGCAGGCCCCGCCCAGTTTTTTTGCTTAATGACAGATCATTGTGCCCAGGTCATTTGGGGATGCTGATCTGTCATTACAACTGGCGGAGCCAGTCCTAAGCCCAGCTGTGATTTGCGGGGAGAAAGGTCGGCTTCGGCAACCTTTTTCCACTCTTCGGCTGTCACTTTGGCTCAGTCGAGCCGAAGCATATGCCTTCAGCTCGGCTGAGCGGCTCGGCTGCCTTCTGCTGCTGTATGGGCTATTGTAAATAGCCTGTACAGCACCCCATCGGTCCACCTGAACCGAAGGGCAGAGGCGGCCGAAGAGAGCCGAAGGATCAGCTGAAGCTATGGCTGTATCCTTTGGCTAGATGGTGAATAATCCCCTTAGTCTTTTAGCACAGACAACTTGAACCTAAATTATGCCACTCAGTGTCACTTCAATCAAAATGTTCTCCTTTTCAAGCAATTCTGTTAGTCCGTGTGTCATAGCTCATTTTATAACAAGAGTAATTAGTTGTCACTAGGGATGCACCAATACTTTTCGAGTACCAATGCTGATACTTGGCATTTTCACGAGAACTACCAGGGTTGCAGCAGTTGCAGCTGGGACCTGGCTCTGGTGCTCCACCACTGTCCAGAAATCCTTAGTCTGTATTGTTTTAGAAAAACTGTCACATGACAATAAACAAAAATGTATCAGTACTTGTAAGTACTTGGGCAAGTACCAGTACTCGCACTCGCAAAACTGGTATTGGTGCATCCCTTTATTTATATTTATAAAAACAAAATCATACATTAAAACAGAGATGTATGAATCCCAGGAGCTCCGTGTGTTCCTTACAAATGACAGCTGCCTCCTAACTTTTGAATTTTTCTCTAGTCTAGTCTTGGAGCCCGAAAAGTATCGGTACATGTACTTGGTATCGGTGCATCCCTAGTTGTCACACAATGAAAAGAGATTATGAAATGTAACCATATTTGTAATTATTTTTTTTAACATGCAAGACCATCAAAAATAACTTTTCTGAAGTTGCCGTAAAGATTGCCAGAGAGAAAGAAGGAAAATAAATAAATAAAATTATGCGGTCATTACCTATTTAAACAGTTACAGCCAAGCTTTGTAAATTCAGTTCATAGATAATGTAATATGTTTGTCTAAGGAGTAAGTACAAATAATCACTTTATGGACAATCAAATTGCAATTTACACAATATAGTCTTTTACATTTCAAACATATAAGATGATCTTAGAAACAAAAGCTAATAAAGACAATTATTGTATTCAATATAATAAGTAACCCAGCCACTTAGCTCTATAAACTTTTTACAGTCAAACTTAAATCTGAATTCTACACTGTGAATAAAGTTTAATAGTGCCAATGAAGATTTTAACAGCAACATCTATTCACAGAATAAAATGAGTTATTTATAATGAATAGCTAAACCCAAATTATGATGTTGCCTAAATAGTTATGTCACTTAATAAAGCTGCAGTTCATGTATTCGTACATATGCAGGCAACCTGTTTTTACTAAATCTAGTTGTTGACAGCAAGAAATTCAGTGTGAACAACAAGCCTCTCTGCAACAAAGCATTTGTATTTTACTGTAGTAATGATTTTCTACTACTATCTTTTTTATGCTAACTATTCTAGTTAGCTGTTTTCTAAATTCTAGGTGCAAAACCAATCATTCAAAAACCAAACCATTAGGAAAGAAGAAGAAACTTCCGATAAAAAAACTTTACCCATATCTTCAAAATAACAAGAAAGGTGCCTTTAGAAATACTTAGTATTGAAAATCTACAATCATGTACTTCTAGATAATTGCAGGATTTTTTATTCTGCATACCTTAATTTTTTTTCCCCCCAAGTCTTCTGACAGTGGCCATTTTAACTAAGGGCACATTACTAAATCTCTCTTTACTTCCTGGAACTCTGGAAGATGTGACTAGGACATGTGACCATGCACATCATCTCAGGGTAGAAAAATGCCATTCCCTGAGATAACAGATAAGATTTCCCAGCAATGCTCTGCTTATGTAACCTTCCCAGGATGCAACTCTTGGGTGGGATTACATTATTGGTGCCAAAGAGGACCAGGAACAGAAGGTTGAAAAAATAAATTGTAAGCAAAATAAAAATATGTTTGTTTAGCTAATGAATGTAAGATAATTTCATATCAGCATCATCAACAAAATGCTTTGAATTAGATCCTAAATTAACATAGTATGAAACATTTTGCAACCCAATCTGGAACACTAGCATTTTTTAAAAGAATTAAATAATGCCTTTCTGTTAAATGTCTACATAGATTAAGGTCTGAAAATGTTTTAACATTTATATTTTCAGTCTTTCTGTGATGTGGCTAGTGCAGAACGACAAAGCAGGAAGCAGAGCCTCTATATGTAATAGCAAATATAGCAACATCCTTGTACCCATATATTTAGAAACTATGCAGAGAAGCAATGTTTTGCAAAGCATGAAATTAAATTAAATGGTATTTGTGCCCATAACTTTTTTCTATTTGTGGATACAGTGGGGAAGATTTAGTAACTCTACCATGTTTTTATTAGAGTCCGAATCCCTATTAGAAGTTTTGGTGATAACCTTACAGTTTTTCTCAGATTTTTTTTCACCATCAGGACAGCTAGAGTTAATCTCCCAAACATAGACAAGCACAGCAATAAAAACCTAACAGAGGCTCTAATGCTTCACTTTTTTTAAAACTAAAAATACTCTATGTCTGGAATTGCACTTAAAAATTTACTGATAAGATTTAATTAATCACATTTTCATACACATAAAAGACAGCACAATAAAGTAGAGTATGCACAGGTTGATTTTTGCACGTTCGATACTGACATCAGAAGCTTGCCGAGTCTTGCCGAAAGTTGTCATTTGAAATTGTATATTATTTTCATTTTTAGGTAACATTCTGTTTTGAAATGAATGGAGCATCCAAATGAAAACCACATTCACTGTTAGAAATTAGTTTGATCCAAAAAAAGTCCCAGCATGCTCCTTCAAATTTTGTCGTTACTGTGGTTGAAATTGTTCATCAGTTGGACCCCATCAACGATTATAAGGTCAAACAGACATTCCAAAACCAAATTCTAACCGTGTATATCCTACTTAAGACTTTGTATTTTCAATTCAAAGTGGTACAAACCCTAAGTCTTCTTTTTAAATGGTGAAAATAGTGGTAATAGTGAGAAATACATTTAATGAGTCCTTTAGATCAAATCAATCAAATCTGTAAAACACTTATTGTCTAATGTGTTAGAAAATTATCCATTCACTTTATACATGTCATATAACATCCCTTATATTGTTTTTCTCTACAGTTTCATGCTTTTTTAATTTTACAATGCCTTCTGGAATAATTCTGTCACCAAACTATCCTGAAGAATATGGAAACAATATGAACTGTGTGTGGCTAATAATAGCAGAAACAGGAAGTCGGATTCACTTGATCTTTAATGACTTTGATGTGGAGCCCCAGTTTGATTATGTTGCAGTAAAAGATGAAGGTATTGCAGAATTACCTGCACTTGGCACATTTTCAGGAAATGAAGTTCCCTCTCAGATTGCAAGCAATAGTCACATAGTGCGTCTAGAATTTCAGTCTGATCATTCAACCACGGGTAGAGGCTTTAATATTACCTATACAAGTAAGTGTAATAAAATAATTCCTAGCTACTTAATATGTTTAAATTGATTGCTTATTTATTTGATTATATTGCTGGGAGAAATTGAACTCAACCATTGTCAAGTTTCAGTATGGACAATCTAAATTGTATAGATACAGAGAATTAGTGTATACACCACATCTTGTCCTCTTTTTTATATTCTGCTTTTCTAAATATATTTTATACTCAGTATTATAATCAATATGTTTTATAGTCTATCATAAAGGAACAGTATAGCGTATTTGCCATGTGCACATTTTTTATTGCAGTGTTCACTTTAATGCATTTTTGTTTGGATTCCACATTCCACAAGTTTGTTCTTCATTATTTTTCAGCAGCAAAAAATAAAGGCAGCAACAGAGGAGCATATTGTGTGTTAAAGTAGTGTATTGTAGCATCTATTGGAAGTATGCAAAAGAGAGGCAATGCAGCAGCACAACTGGGAGAGTCCTGTTTTAAATACCACTTTATGCATTGACATATCTCCTTTTAGATCTCAATCCATTTAGGTCTGTATGGCCACCTACTAAATCAACAAAATCCACAGACAGCTTAACCCTCCAGCTTAACATTAACTAATATAATTCAGAGGTTTAATCCAATTCAGTTTTATTTCTCCAAGAAAAGTACAAAGGATTTTTCAGGTCTTTTGAAGTTTAAAAAGTAGGGATGCCTTGAAGATAGCGCTAGGTCTTACTTTCGGGGTAGGTCTTACTTTCGGGGTAGGTCTTAACCTTTCAGGGAAACACGGTATGACAGGTATACATGACTCTGATAAGCTCCTTAGGCATTTCTTTGCTGGCAGGCTTCTTGCTGTAATAATCAAACTGTCAGATGTGACAGCTCAGTCCTTGATGGATGGATCTGTGGCCAAATTTCAACTCAGATCACAAATCTGTTTTAGGAATGTAAGTCTTTAAAGTTCTCACTGGGATTCTCCAAGTGAAGCAATTTTACTTTTGCAGCTGCAGCTGCACCTCTATGTGCAACTCTGTAACATCTACTGAAGTAGGCAGTGATTTAGAGTCGCTATTTACACTGTATATAAACTAAAGAATATAAGTATTGTTATAACAGATCTCAGTGTTTGTAGATTCCTGGTCACCTGTTAAAGGTTAAGGTTCACAGCTATCATTATCAAGCAGCTCTCTAATGTAGTCTTGACTTGCTCGTATGATGATTTTATTGGAGTGTACTTCACCTGAAGCCTGAGGATTATATGGGCGGTGGGTTCCAATAATTACCCAACCTAGGTTAGTCTTATGGGCATAAGCTAAGTCATTCCAACCATTGTGCTGCTGATGTACCTAGTACAATCTAAAGGTGCCCATACACTGCATGATTCTCGTACGAGAATCGCGGGAAATCCCGCGATCGTACAAGAAACGTGCAGTGTGAATGAAGACGTGCAACCGTTTCTACTGTACGGTCGCACGTCTTTTGTCTGAGGAGCATGCTAGAAAACCAGCCAAAAATCGTACAATTTTCAGATGGTTTGAATGATGCTCGGGAGACAAATGCCGAACGGCCCGTTCAGCATTGAGGTCATCGGAAGCCCAAACCTCAGGCGGGCGGGCTTGCGATGATCGCAAGTACGATCTGCCTGTCCAAGATGGGCAGATCGTACGTTTTTTTAATTACTTTACAACCATCGCAAGACCAAGGTCTTGCGATGGTTGTAAAGTGTATGGCCACCTTAAGGATGTCTCTTCCCAGAAGCAGCATGAGTTTGGCATCATTGTCAATTTGTGGAATACAGTCATCTAAATGGCTTAGGTGAGGTTCAGAAGGAGTTCTTCTGGTGCAGGTATTTTCTCTCTTTCATTAGGTATTTGGTTGCACTCAATGAGCATAGGAAGATTAGTCCTTATAGTTCCTTCAAATACGTAATAATTAATCATAAAAACAAGGAAGTGTGGACCTTAAGGGCTTACTGGACCTTAGTGTGGACTCACTGAAAAAGAAACTTTGATCATTTTTAGTTCCTGCAATGTTCCTGATGAAATCACACAAGTAGAAGAATGGTGGAAAGGAAACATGGCTCTCATTATTTTATTATTATTTTACAGCAATAGGGTTTTTAAAACACTAACACCCCTAATATCAATTAAGCTGATTTCTTATGTGTTCATGTAAATAAATATACATTCCCTTTTAAATAAAAATTGCAAAAATCAAACAGTTTTAATTTTTCTGCCACAGACCTTAATATATTGTTTAAAATTGCTTATAATATTTCAGAATTGTTAGCTTGTGTAAGAGCATACAGTATATTTTAGGTCTTGAATTAGTGTTGTCCTTTTATCACAAGGAAATCAATCAGTGTCTATCTGTATTATTATTTTCTAAAACGTCACTCTTCCATTGTGGCAATTTTAAGGTTGTGGAATTGTATACAAGGTATATTTTATTGAGGTTTTTACAATTGCATTGATCAATTGTCTAAATAATAACCATGTGAGGTAACAAAAGCAGAAAAAAAAATTGCATCAAACTGAGATACTTATTCATTTTCAGATGTTGTTTCTGTCAATGCACCATCTAAATAAATTTAGCTCTGTATTGAGGAAATTACTCAGATTATGCTAGATAGTTACAGAAATTCTGTGAGGGGTTAGCAGTAGAGTGGAACTGGTCTTCAGGGTCCTAGGTTGGCTAAGCCCAGATATTTCTAGAAGAGTGGAACAATACAAATTGTTACTGCCATGCATCTGACAGCTTCCTACTACTTTGCTACATTGCCAGTGCCAAACAGTAAATAACTTGTATCTCTTTATTCCCACTACGAGGGAGCAATATGAGCAAGAACAGCACTGAAAGGGGACTGATAAAAGTATGTTAATAAAGATTCTTTAGCTTTTTTACCACTGGATATGTAATTTGTAATAAGTAAGACAATCTAGCAAGACATGTTTACAAGATAAACTGAGTTTAATTTACTCAAGACAGGGGGAATTTGCAAGGGAGAAAAAAGATGCATTGGAAATTTTTTCTCTTTGCTAGACAACTGTCAGTAAAAATCAAAATAAAGATAAAATAGATTGGGGCTTAATCTAGGTTATTGTCAGTTTAAGTAAAGTTATGGTCTGGGTCAGTGTTAGCATCAGTGCCAGCGTGTTTTAGGTTTTCAGATTAAAAAGAGGTTTTATATTAATTGTCAGTGCCAGTTTTAGTGTCAGTGTTAGTGTCAGGGTGTTGAGGTAGAATAAAAGGAAAACAAAAGTAAAATATGCACCTTTGCTTCTAGGCCATACTACTGGCCCAAACATCAAATAGTGAACATACTGTATATATGCGATATCCCTAGGCACGTCAGGAGTAGGAAAATTATGGTTGATACTTGCATTTTTTATGTTACAGCTTTTGGCCAAAATGAATGTCATGATCCTGGAATCCCAATTAATGGAAGGAGATTTGGAGACAGGTTTCTCCTTGGAAGTTCAGTATCTTTCCATTGTGATGACGGTTTCATCAAAACCCAAGGATCTGAGTCCATCACTTGTATTATACAAGATGGAAATGTAGTGTGGAGTTCTACTGTTCCAAGATGTGAAGGTGACAAATCTCCAGTATGATGTTTGATTAAACATTTCACAAATTCTAGGATATTTAGCTACTAAACAGCATTTTATTGTTTTTAAGCCTCAAATGTACAAAATCCTGTAGATGAGGGATGCACCGATACCATAACCCAGCAAAGCATTGCTTTACAATGCAAAAAAACACTTACAATAATTATGTTTCTGAACAGCTGCATTCAAGTCTCTCAGCTCAGCTTCCCTGAACATCCTGTCCAGTACTAGATCACAAAGGACAGTGCAGACTCCAGCAACTGTTCATCTACTAGTTTGGAGAAGGGAGAAGGGAGAAGATGGGGCCAGGGGGGAGGAGAGTAGCTTGATTTGCTGTGTCTGTGTGTTTGTGACACACACATCTTACTAGCACACAATAGGGTGACTGCATAGAACTCAGCTTGAGAAAGGAGTCACTCTATAACAGGAAGTCAGGACCAGTTCTCAGGGGTGCAGCTGATTCTGCAGGGAAATAAAACTTTTAGACATCAAGTGAAGCATTCATTATTATTTCATCAGCATTTGAAATAGCTTAAAACCCCTTTGACTTGAATATCACTTTATTAGCAGGTATTGTTTGTTATTATTTCACACTTCTTATATTATTTCAATATTATTAAGAAAGGATTTGCTAGCTATTTTGTCACTGATTTCGGCAACCTCTTGTTTAAAAACATTTTTAGGATAACATTGCAATAGGGTAGGTGGAAAAAGATGAAAATATGCAAATTTTCAGATTTCAAATTGTATCTGAAAAAAACTGTGAAAGAGCTTGACAAATTGCATAAACAACTAAATCAGAACAAATGCTACTTGGAGCAGAGTTGTTTCTTTGTTGCTTTTAAAATAGAAATATGTATATACATGTATGTATACTTACTTTACTTACTTTTATTCTACAGCACCGTGTGGAGGACACTTAACAGCATTGAGTGGTGTTATATTACCTCCAGGTTGGCCTGGCTATTACAAGGATTCATTAAACTGTGAATGGGTGATTGAAGCAAGGACTGGACATTCAGTTAAAATTACTTTTGAGAGGTAGGGCAATATATGTTGTCAGCTTGCAGAATTAATGCTCAGATCCTGGTTTGTTTGCTAGTATAACACCCATACAAACAGTAGTCCATTAAATTCTAGTATATATAAACAGAAGAACTGAACTTAAAAGAAGTTGGGGAGAAGCGTCACAACAGAGAGACATGGCAGACTGCAAAGCATGGTAGTTTACAAGGTTAATGTACCATAATATGCAAATATGCTGTGTATGCCTGCATGTCATGGCAAAAGCTGTGGTGAGAATTAATATTTAATTCTGCTTTAAAGTGGGCATTGTATCCAAATGCGAATGCCTGTCCATCCATGTAAAAAAAATGGCATTACCCATAAACAAAAGCTCACACAATAATGTGAAAAAGCATAAATAAATGTTTTTTTCTATGCCACCAGCCTCTGCCCACATAACCTACGAGGCAGTGACTTCCCTGGCCTTCCATACATTTTAATGCAAGGCTGATTGGACAGGCAAGCATATTTGCATATTATGGTACATTAACCTTGTAAACTACCATGCTTTGCAGTCTGCCATGTCTCTCTGTTGTGACGCTTCTCCCCAACTTCTTTTAAGTTCATTTCTTCTGTTTTCTTGATTGGGTGAGACCCCATGCTGTTAACCAGCACGTAATTCTGGCATCTTAGAGGTGTTGGAATTGTATACAGGGCTTCCCCTTTCCTGGCCAACAGTGTACAATTCATAAAAAATGCAAGAAGGTGGCAGGGGGAGGGGGTGTTTATGGAATTCAAAACACAAGAATTCACCAGCCTCAGCCTGCCAGCCAGCCTGCAACCAAACAAGTATAGATTCATGCATGTACCATTTTTTCCTGTTTATGGAATTCTTCTACCATAAACATGTATCTGCTTGCAATTTTATTACTTTCAAATTTTACAATAGTTCCACTTTAATATCCTAAATTGTGTGTTTATTCCCAGATTAGACACATCTACATGCCAATATTTAAGAGATTCATAATGTGATGAAACAGAGTTTCTCTTTACTATCCATAATCAGGAAAAAAAGCTGTGTATGCCTATACTGTATGGTATATTTGCAATCATCTACATAGAAAAAGCTGTTCTTTAGCATTGGTTAATCGTTTTACATAACATATAGTTAGAACATCATGCAGGAAATCTAGGAAATGTAAAATTGGCTATGAATACTAGGTATTGATGCCAGGTTAAATCATAATAATAAAGAAATGCTTTCATTCAAGTCTCAATTTAATAGCTCCACATGCTTTGAAATTAGTTTTAGTGACACAATTTCAGTGGTTTATAAGCAGTGTAATCAAGATTATGATTATGAAGCTTTTATCTTTTTTTTTTTTTAAATCCACATCTTTATACTAATCTGTGCTGACAAGTATAATATTGTACAATGTTCTGGTTTTATAGTTCAAGAGGTTAACATCTCTACTGACGAATCTGAATAGTATTCACTGAACAGTGTTATATTGTATCAAGAGAGGGTGTCAGCTTGCTGGTAAAAAAAGATAGCCAGTGGAGAATGATTTCATGCTTCATCATCTGTCATAAATCTAAGCCCTAAAGATTCAAGGAGCAGAAAATTGTTAACACAAGGTTCCTGAAAAAATGTAAACAGACATGCTGGGCCATGTTGTGGTTAACTCCATCACTACATCATATTGATTGATCTGGAAGGTGATACACATTAAGGTGAATCTTTTAGCGGGTTGCTATAATGAAGGCTTAATTAACAAGCGTAAGAACACAGTAAGCCTTAGAGCAGCAGGAATACACATATCATGTATTCCCTCTCAATTAGGTTACTTAGCAAAGTTTAAACAGTGGGGTATATACCTTGAACTCAATTAAATTAGTCTGTGCTCAGTGATTAATACCAAAAAGTTACATGCTTCAAGTCTTACTGGAAACTGCAGATTACATTTATTTTCAGGTAGTTCTGTTATCATTTTGCTAGCTTAAAGCAAAAGTAAAAATGTAGAGCATTGTAGTTGTTGCCAGTCAGGAGCACCACACAGCAAAATTTGCTATTGCCTTTAAAGGCTTTTTGATTAATAATGGTGTCCAAAGAATATTCAGTTTTAAAGAGAATCCACATTAGTAACTAGTAACACAGAGAATCCATTTTAACCACTTTGTGATGGGAGACGTACACTGTAAGTCCCGTCACAAAGTACCTATATGACTGGCCACGTACACTGTACGTGACTAGTTATTTAAGGCTCTGTAATGCTGGTAACTGCTGATTCTCAGTGGTTACCAGCCATTAACGAATGCCTCAGTATTGAGGCATTCATTAATTAAATAGTTAAGCTTTTGTAAAAGCTTCTTTCTTTCAATAATGAAAGAATGAAGCCATTACATGCAAATACGGGAGCACTAAATAGCAATCCAGTATTTGACAGCTGAAAATAGCAGAGAGGTAGTAGAGTGACTCACCTCTCTGCTATTCCTTTTGACAGCTCGATTGCCCGATGTTTATGATGCATTTCAGGCAAAGAGATACAATGTATCTCTTTTTACCTGAAATGTATCACTTCTGATCGCCTGGGCACGATCAAAGACCTTTAGTGAGATCTGATTCTGACATGCTGTCAGGATCAGTCTCTAAGGTTATTATTAGCTGTTTCTAAGTTTGGAGCAGCCTAATAATAGCCAGGAATTAAAAAAGTTAATTTATCAAGCAGTCATAGTGACTGCTTGATATAAAATGACAAAAAAAAAAGTTTTGTAAAACTTTTTTTACAAAGTGTAAAAAAATAAAGTGTAAAACAAAATTAGGAAAATAAAACATTATCACACAGCAAAAATTTCAAAAGTGTGTCAGTCATTTATGAACAGAAACTGAAAACTAGCTCAGTCATGAAAGGGTTAATCAAAAACAATATGTGGAATAAATTATTATTTCTTATTACTGAGTATATGTCTGATATCCTGCAATACTTGGCTAGTAAAGTTCATCATAAAAAAGTAGGCAGGATCATGTAGTCACCGCTCATCCTTGTAGTTCTGAAAACTTGGTGATGCTGTTCTTTTGTATTAAGACAGCATTTAAAGCATATGTCAAGCTATTTTTTTTGGATGGAGTGGGGCAGGGGTAGAACCCCTGTAGGATTTGTGTGCTATCTGAGGCTTTTTTATATAGATTGTCACTCAATTCATGTGTTGGTGATAATGTGTTAGCAGTAAGGGGACCTTTTCAATGGCAACACAGACAGAAATCAAAATGCTGTTTTAGAAAAGGAGGAAAAGTACCCCTGTTAGATTTAATTCTGCCTGTGTCCCCATTGCAGATCTTCCCTTACTTCCTGTCTGATAAATCCAGATGTAAAGTGATGAAAAATCTTGCAGGACAAACCCTCAGATAGCAGTAAACAACATACAAGGGTTCTAAACCTTCCTCACACAATCTAAAAAATAAAACAACTATTTTTAGCTTGACATAAACTTTAAAACTCATAATGTGTACTATGAATAATTAGCCATGGTTGCATGTTAGTTACTAGTATGGGGCATTCAATTCTAAAAAAAAATAAGTTTGAATAACAGATTTAAAAAAATCACCAAATTATACCAATCTAATTTTTCCAAATTATACCTAAATTTGAACCAGAACATTACACTCAAACCACAGACTCACCCAAACCCTTAACACTTAATTTAAACATTAAAATGGACCTTCAATACATCACCTGAGTCCTAAACCAAATCTACCTTAACCCTAAAAACTAACTCTTAAAGTAGCAGATAAAAAGGGTTTTTTTCAGAACTTGACAAACCCTAAGGCAGTGGGGCATAACTGTGCTGACAATGCAAGTTGGAGTACCAGTCACACGTGTGGCCAGTAAGGTGACTAGATTGTAGGTGTGTGGATGGAGTAATGCATGTGGGTGATGGTGGATGGAAGACCCATCAATCAATGCGTGGAGAATTGTTTCAGGTTTAGGTCATTTTAACTATTCTACTTCCTTCTATACTTGCTCTTGTTAACCCCTAACTTCCCGGTTGGGATGAAGTGGCTCCGGCTAATGCTTATCCACCATCAGGAGAAAGTTAAAAAAAATATTATTTTATTGTGGGAAATACCCAATAGATAAAAAAATAGAAACAAATATCATTGTTATAAAAGATGATGAAAATAACACAACCAATAAAAAATAAAGTTATTGCTTTAATAAATCCTTTAGTTGTGACTCTAAGAACATTCCAGTCTGAGTACAGCACTGCAGGCAAACTTAAGCTCCATGAATTTTTCCTTTCTACTACAAAATTAACTTACACATTATTTAGACACAGATACTATGATTTACTGTCAAGCTTGCTACTAGAGAATTGTATCGTCTTCTGAAAAAAAACATTAATCAGGTCACCATTATTTTGCCTAGAGGAGAAAAATACCAACTACAGTGCACATCACTCATTAAAATAAAATATTTCCAATTCCATCTTTATCAAGACAAGACATTCTGGTAACCTTCTGTCACGTACCTGGTGGGGAGCCGAGTTGTGAGGAGGCCTCCTTTGCAGCACGAGTTCCACACCCCTGAAAGTGGAGACAGGAGGTGGGGGAACAGCGGGCAGCACCGGTGCCGGAAGATGCAGGACACTGGGCCTGGGCAGGTCCTTGAGGCCTGTCTTCAGTGAAGCAGGAAGCAGGTGTTGATGCAGCTGGAGCAGAGCAGAGTTGGGCAAGCCAGGGTCAGCAACAATCGGGCAGCAAAAAGAAGAAGGCAAAGGAGAATCCAGGGACAAGCAGAAGTCGGAGGCAGGCAGCAGTCAGGCAAGGTCAAGGAATACGGGTAGACAATAATACAGCAACAGGCAAGGTACAGAAACACACACACTAAAGCTGAAAGACCACTCAGCAATGATTCTGGGAGTTGGGCCAGCTTAAATAGGATCATCCCCAGGCAGAGCGAGTCATTTCCTGTGCGCCATGTGAGCGCGACTTCGCGCATCCGCCTATGCGCGAGTTCGGCCTATGCTCAACAGGCCTATGCGCATGCGCAGTCATATCTCTGCTGCCAGGCATGGTCTTACACCTTCTCTTGGAACCTATTCATGGCCTAAATTGTACAAATGTGCTGTTATTATACCACAACAAAACCCTCAAACAAGATTATAATATGGAACCTGTCCTGTTAAACTGCTATATGGTCTTGGCCACTGTGCTGCAGCTCAGTTTCAGGGTCTTGGCAATCTTCTTATAGCCTAGGCCATCTTTATGTAGAGCAACAATTATTTTTTTCAGATCTGCACAGAGTTCTTTGCCATGAGGTGCCATGTTGAACTTCCAGTGACCAGTATGAGAGAGTAAGAGCGATAACACCAAATTTAACACACCTGCTCCCCATTCATGCCTGAGACCTTGTAACACTAACGAGTCACATGACACCGGGGCAGGGAAAATGGCTAATTAGGCCCAATTTGGACATTTTCACTTAGGGGTGTACTCACTTTTGTTGGCAGTGGTTTAGACATTAATGGCTGTGTGTCGAGTTATTTTGAGGAGACAGCAAATGCACACTGATATACAAGCTGTACACTCACTACTTTACATTGTAGCAAAGTGTCACTTCTGTGAGATACTGTGTATATATATATATACATATATATGTGTGTGTGTAGTGTATATATACAGTAAACTCCCCACTATCCGCCATTTAAGCACACTAAAACATTGTCGGTTGCTTGGTGCACACTAAAAAATTTAGTTAGCAACTAAAATTATTTAGTTGCTAATTAAGTTCTTTGTTGACATATAGCTGCCAGCCAGTGGCTGGATTCCCATTTGGAATCAATTCAAATTGCAATAACCAGTACCAGGCTGGCTATTGAAACCTTCCCACTGAGAGAAAACTTTATTTCTCAGGTCCACTCCTCTGCTCAGTGAACATGTCATGCAGTATTACAGCTTTTTCTGTGCAGTATTTTTGCTTCACAACTGAGAAATGGTAATACTAATGTGTATGTGGTAGAATGCGTTTCTCTTTTAACCCAGTCATTCACATACCATATAATTTTATATATTTCTAAATGAAACAATATATACTGATATTTAATTGCATCACTTCCTTAGGTTTCAGACTGAAGTTAACTATGACATTCTGGAAGTACGGGATGGGCCAGCCAATTCATCACCATTGATTGGAGAGTACCATGGAACACAAGCGCCACAATTTATTATTAGCACAGGGAATTACTTGTATATTTTATTCACAACTGATAACAGCCGTTCCAGTGTTGGCTTTCTAATTCGCTATGAAAGTAAGTAATCATTTTCTATTATATCACAAATTGATTAAATTGAAGGATGTTTCATTTTTGCTATCATTATATGCGTTAACTGTAATGTGTTATCATAATATTTATAAGTCTGTGATTCGGTTTACAATTTTAAATTAATATTTTATGGAAGAAATGCTCAAAATCAAGGGTCAGCACTATGGATCACTGAGATGTGCTGTACTTCTCAGGTGCTGGCAAAAACATGATTCCCACTACAATGAGAGGAGAGCTCAGCTATCAGCGTGCTACTGCACCTTATGGGCTGATGCACAAAAGCCCTAAAAAAACACAGCATTTTTCTCAGTAAAGCATTTTTTTCATGGATCACACAGTTGTATTGATTTTTAAGGGCCCAATGCACACAGCTGTATAAAGATCAATAAACGTGCACTGAATTTAGAACCCTGGGGAAAATCTGCATCCTGTTCCTGTGCACAGAGCACATTTTATGCTGTACACATGTAAACATTTGTGCCAATGTTTACATGCATAAAGCAAACAGTGTGAATGCACTTTATTGAAGCCACCTGCATCCTAGAAAAGAAAGATGATAGGTGACAGGAGCCAACTAGCATTCTTCGCTGCTAGGATGGAGGTGGCTTGAACCATTAAGTGTCCTCATTGCAAGGACCCAGACGGCTTCTTGCCACCTAGCATCCTTTGTGGCTGGGAGGAGGCTCAAACTCCCTACCAACCAATAGGGTACATTTGGGTTATCCCCACTGTGCATGGACAAGATTTTATGTTGGATCTTGCTACCAGCAAATGAATTGGATCTCAAATGTCACAAAGTGTGTTACATTGTTGACCTGATGAAGGGTCCCTATGTGGCCCCGAAACGTTGGTTATAATTATTGCAGCATGTATGACGATCTGTCCGATTAAATGGACTTTATCATTTTAAATCTTTTACTGAGTGCTGGTGATTCCTATGCATTTGCTTTTTGATATGCACGGCACCATCCGTGAGTATCACTACAAGTACCATTATTGTGATTTTGGCCAGAGACGCTGCAAGGAGTGCAGGGGGACATATTGGACTTTAGGATCTTGCTACCAGACACATAGCTTACTATGTAAAAGTCAATATTTACTACTATGTAAAGTGACTTTTTGTCACTTTTGGGTAGCTCTTTGGGAATTTTAATATATCTTTGCTTTAATTTTATTGATTTTTTAATATATTTCAGCTGATTTGAGGTTAAAATCTGAAAAACATGGCATCACAGTTTAGAAATTACTGTATTAAAAAATCCACCTTACCTGTAAAATGCTTTAGTTTATAAAATATATTAATGTGCTTTGATGACTTTGAAGAGATGGTCAAAATAATATTTTGTAAAAGAGCTGAATTATTTTAGCAAATATTCTAATAAGAAAGAGTGAATACTGTCTCACCCCTGGAAGAATAGGATCTTAACCTTCTGCCAGCATAACATGAGCTATAGAAAATGATGTCACTACCTCTTTCAAATATTAGATATGCTTTTTTCTTTATGTATCAGTTCTAAAGTATTGTATTATTTACATACAGTACTTTATTTTTAAAAAGTGATTCCAGCACCATATACAAATCTGACATGTACTTTTATATTCAATTAAGTATAAGCATACATATTTTGTTACATGTGCCTAGATAAAACATAAGAAGAAAAAAATACTGACATATTATGAATTCTGTCGTTCATGATAAGTTATGATAACATATTTCCTGAATATATAATGACCAAGTTAAAGGGTAAAACCACAATATATCATTCAGTGCAGGGGACCGTGGTGAGTAAGCAATTCATATTTGATTTGCCTTTGTGCCCCTGTTCCACCAATTATACCACTAGTTCCAAGTTCCCTTTATTCTACAGCTCCTTTTACCTATGTTGAAGCTGCAGATGTTCATCGGAATAAATAGCTGTCTCACAGTAAATGTTTTAAACCAGTAAAGTTTGGGTACTAAGTTAGTTAGAAGTTACATAGCATACCTGCCTTGCTTCTCTCCAGGGTTCAATGAAATAAGCTATTAAGGGCAGCTATAATTTAGAAGCAAATACAATGGTGGAATAATATAGAGGACAATGAGATTGCTTTAAGAAATAAATAGAGACTGATCAATCAACTGATCTTTTGCTAGCAACAATCCCTTTTTCTAATTTCTCTTGCACATCATTGGCTATTTAGAGAGAACACAATTCTGCTTATTTACTATCATTTACTTTGCAAAGTGACCATACACATTTCAAGTGCTTTAAACAGCTCCTTGTTGTTTCATGTTACCACAAGAGCACTAGGATATAAGAAAACATTGCATACATAAGTGTCACATCTTTCACAACCTACCTTTTCATATAGCTATAATTCTTGTGATTATATGTAAATAGGAGAGGGGATATAAAGCTAAAATCTGTGATAAGCAAATATTGTCAAAATACTGCAGGCATATATATTCTCTTTTGGTATGCTTTGTGTATTTTTTCTATGTCTGTGCAGTAATTAGCTGTAAAATCTTGCCTCTGTGCAGGAGCTTACTATGATCAAAACCAGTCACTGCTGCTCTCTGCTCTTGTGCAGGATGACTGGTCTTGTATGTGCCCCGTCCTGTTGTTTTCTACAGACAGCTTGTAGTGAGAGGTTGCGTTGGGTCCCTCCCACAGCTCTGCTCTCTGTAAAGGCTATTTGCAGCACAATTTCAAGGAAATATCTGGGTTTGCAAAGACATTTGGTGCACACATTGCAGATTTATATGTTTTGTGGCTATCGAGGAGTATATTTCAATTAAAGTTTTATTTTGTGCCAGGATTTCAGCTAAAAAAGGATTAGAGATAACGCTTAAAGTGACACTAAACTCAGGAGCTAAAACCTAAAAATGCATTCAAGTACCTTAGATATTATCAAATTTATTAACAAAAATGTATCTTACCTTGTATCACTGGGCTGTGCAGACTCAAATCATCTCTGAATTTGTGCTGACCCTGTCCTTCCTTCTAGAAGGTGGCTATTTTTGTTCCCCATGGTTCCTGTGTGTTGTAAATTAGCCATCGCTCCAAGCTTGTTTTCATAATGGACTACAATCTCACATTTAGTGTACTAATTTTTATTGAGATTGTAGTCCATCACAGGAGTGAGCTTGGAGCGGTGGCTACTTTACAACACACTCAGGGACCATGGGGAACAAAAGTAGCCATCGCTCTTGAAGGAAGGACAGTGTTGGCATTAATTCAGAGATAATTTGAGAGTGATACACAAATAAGATGCATTTTAGTTAATATTTTTTTCAGGCTTAACTCATGAGTTTAGTATCACTTTAAATTTAAACTGCATACAAAACATTTTTGTTTTGTAGAGTGCCAAAGGAATACAAAATGCTGTCAAGGTTTTAAATTAAGGAGATTTGGCTTTTTTGTTTGTTACCAGTACAAGAAATGAGATGAACATTTAATTGGGGACATATACAACATTAAATACACTATTTTTAGAAGAGTTGGAAAGTGTTACAACATTTTTCAGGCCTTTATTGTTGTCCATGTTGTTGTCATGGGAAACATTTTCCTATTACAGGTTTGTGTGGATAAAATACAAACAGCCACTGGTTCCAGACATTTCTCCATAAAAAGTTTTTTTGCACTTCAGCCTCCCATAGTACACTTAAACCGTAAAAAAAGGATTGTTTCCAAACCTCCTTTGCATTGCTGCAAACCAACTGGTACATATGTTTGTGAGAATGATCTCCATAAATTGTTTGCATTACATTTATTTGCCAGTCAATTCTTGTATTTAAGAATATTTTCTGAAACAAAAGTATATTTGTTTTATTTCTTGCACCTTTTTAGTGTGTATTTGACTGTATATTATTGTATTTGCATCAACTGTTTTAAATTGAAAACATTTCTTTTCATAAAAAGTTTTTTTGCACTTCAGCCTCCCATAGTACACTTAAACCGTAAAAAAAGGATTGTTTCCAAACCTCCTTTGCATTGCTGCAAACCAACTGGTACATATGTTTGTGAGAATGATCTCCATAAATTGTTTGCATTACATTTATTTGCTTACTGGAAATACAGCATATAAAAGTAATGTTCATGATATTTATACTACAGGTGTTACTCTGGAATCAGATTCATGTCTTGATTCAGGCATTCCAGTAAATGGCCACCGACATGGAAAAAACTTTGGCACTGGCTCTATTGTGACTTTCACTTGTGATGCTGGCTACATATTAAGTGATGATGAACCACTCATTTGTGAGAAAAACCATCAGTGGAACCATGCCTTGCCTAGTTGTGATGGTAAGTGTTGTGATTTGCTTGAGCATGTATTGGGCATGTTTTAATATTAAATACTTATTTCTATCAGCTATCTTAAGTCAGCAAAGATGTCCCCTTTTAAATATCTTCTCTGCTCTAGGAAACATTTGTACTCAGGTCAGAGATCCCTGTGTAGATCTTTTCACTACTGAACTATTCTGTTGATGACTAGCCATCAACATGACATTTGCAGGGCATCAACACTAACATTTGCAGATTGTCAGCACTGACACACGCAAGCTGTCAAGTCAAACTACTGATTTGTGCCTAACATTTTTATATTCCCAAATGTGGTTTAATGGCAAGGCAGATGTAATCATCACTATATTTTTTGTTATACAGTCTAGAGATCAGTTATATAGAAACATACAATTTGAAATAGGATTTTATGTCAAAGTAAGCATCCTGTGGCAAATTATAATTTCTACACCATCAGCATTCTTTAAAGTGAACATGTCATGTCCTCTGTAGTGTATAAACTAGCATTAAGGTACAGGCACATGTGCACTTGCTTGTCTTAAAATCAGTTCAGAAACTTAGATACTAGGCAAAGGCTGTATACAAGGTTTTGAATTATCTTCAAGTTAAAAACGTTCTGCCTCCTCTCAGCAGTATTCTTTGTCCCTACTATTCAGCTGTCAACTCCCTAATCCCAGTGACTAGTATAAGGTCTGCATTAGACAGTCGAATAACAGAGATGGACTTGAGTATGTTAGATTCACTTTAAAAGATCTATACATTTCCAGATAATAGTTTCACTTTTTAATTTAATTGCTTTCTGTCTACTGTCCTTTTTCATTCCTACTCTGTAATAGCAATAACTTCCCAATGCGTGTAATGGAATCACTTTACTGAATTTATTAGTAAGGAACTGAAAAAAAAGCTTTTATGAACAGAAATCTGTTTGTCCAAGGGACCATTTTCAGATTTTTTTCTGTTGTGAATGTTTATGAGCCTGGTTCATAAATAAAGAATAACCACTCTTAATGAATAATTCAGTAAGGTAGTTTAGCCTTTGCTTCAACTGTGCACCTCTTCTGGGAAAGTTGCATTATTCAAGCATAATAAACAACACAGGTGTCAAGTTAAAAATATATATTTTAAGTAGGTATAATAATGACTAAACATTGACCTGTTTATCAAATGTGATGATCTATTGCTGAAATTAGCTCAGCTAAATGGTAGTAATTTGTTAACTGGGCATGGTAATCATTCATTCAATTATTGTTAGTTACCTTAAAGAATGGCTATCACTGAAAACCTGTATAGTCACATATATGTTATCTACAACATCTCACTAATTGTAGATATATTCAATAACATGTTTTACTAAAGAATGGTGACAAATCAATCAAACTTTGTTCTGTCTCCAGTTCAAGTTGCTTTGCCCACATTTGTTTTACCAAAAATAATATCTTCACAAATTTAGCAAAAATTATATTATTTTAAAATTATATTTCTTTGGATTTTAAATGGTGACAATAAAAGATGCCTGGTAATCTTTTCAGTATGCAGTTTGGCAAACAGAATGGCAGTGTTGTATACAAACAGTCACAGGAATTTTTTTAGAAAAAAAAAGGCAAACAATTAACAAGCGTCAGCTTTGTTGGCAAGAACAAATTAATGCACTGTGGCCAAGTGGAAGGCAGACTTAACTCTTGTCAGGTTGCTAACAGGTACAAAACACATGCATTCTGGAAGTGTTGTCTCTTTACAATTTAGCACATTGACTGGTACTGTAAGGGTGGGAGATTATGGACCAGAATGTCACTGGCTTTTTTTGCCTAGGACTGTACAGTATGTAAGATTCCATAGCTGTTGTGTATATTTTAGATGTCCCATGTCTAGTCAGGAATAAGCTTATCTGATTTTATGGCATGGGATGCCTGATAGGCTTTAAAGAAGAAATAAACCACTGTGTGAAGGGTGGGTTTTTTGTCCTAATGTGCAAGCATGCATAACATACAAGTGTGTCCTTCTCCAGTGCTGTTAGATTGATCTCCACTCCCCCACTCTGTCCTCCAGCCACCGCCCTCTCCCTCGCTGACACTTCTGGGCTCTCAGGCATCCTCTTTGGCCACTGGGTGGCCACTGTTGATGTAACTCCTGCACTTGCTCACACAAATATGTACACTGCACAGCGCAGGTGCCATACAATGTACACAAAAAAATCACTGGGGGAGAAAGATTATGTGCTTATTTCACAATAGGCTACTATGTAACCTCTAGTTTTGTGTAAGTAGTTAACACTTCTTAGAGGTGATGTAGCAATGTAAGACAGTAGATATGTTTCCAAGTACATACCCAGGAACATGTATTTGAAATCTGTGTTGACATAAACCTATTGTAACCTAATGGTACTCAACAGATGACAGGGCCTGAACTTATCTTTTAATGCCCACCACAGCATTGGGTGAGAGAAAATTGGAAATTTAACCTGCACGTATCTATGCTTTCTATTTGAGGACTATCAAGAGCTTACCTGCCTCCTGCACATTCCTGACTAAAAGTCAATGTTGATAAATGTAAGGTAATGCACCTTGGAGTTAAAAATAGGCAAATGGACTATACACTTATGGGTGTGCCACTAGGGAAGTCGGAAACGAAGAAGGACTTGGGGGTCATTATAGGCCGCAGATTGAAGAACAGCTCGAAGTGCCAGGCTGCTGTAAACAAAGCAAGCAGAGTCCTGTCTTGCATTAAGAAGTGAATGTATTGCAGGGACAAGTTTATAATTTTGCCACTTTGTAGATCACTGGTTTGGCCACATCTAGAGTATGCGGTCCAGTTTTGTTCACCAATACCCAGAAAGGATGTCCTTGAGCTGGCAAAAGTCCAGAGGAGGGCAACCAAACATATTAAGGGGTTCGAGGACCTGAAATATGAAACAAGGTTGTTAAAATTAAATATGTTCTCTTTGGATGTTAGGAGATTAAGGGGGGGCATGATATTCTTGTATAAACTATTCAAGGGTGACAGCAGCATTATTAACAAACTGTTTACGGTTAGCTCTGTAACAAAGACCAGAGGGCACAACCAAAAATTGGTGGGAAAAAAATGTCAACACACAGGGAGCAAGGGGTTCTTCACAGTTAGAGTGGTTAAGGTCTGGAACTTGCTGCCGCAGGAAGTGATCTCTGCTAAGAGTGTGGAATCATTCAAGAAACTCCTGAACGAGTTCCTCGGAGACCATAATATACAGGAGTACAGGTACGCCTAAGAGCAAAATCACACATGGACTAATACACACACACACACCTGCTCAAACATAAATGCATACACACAATAGGTTGGACTTGATGGACTTATGTCTTTATTCAACCTCAAATACTATAAAAGACGGAATTTTTTGACAGAAGAGTCTTTGCATGTCTCTTCTTCCAAAAACCCCAATCTCCCAGCATCTTTTTTTTTACTTTACTTCCACTTTTAAATGTACAGGATCTAAAAAGCTTTGAAGTTAAGTGAAGTAAATAATCATATGATATAGGCTATAATATTGCACATATTTAGAGTTTGGGGTTACATTTAGAAAATATGTTGTTATACACGTTTAGGGTTTTCAAAAATAGCTAAACATGGTCACTTTGAGCCTAACCTGCTCCAATTAGGTGATATTTAGGCTGTGTAGTCCTAGTTATCAATAACAAGCATTTTTTTATGCATTATCAGTAATTTTTAGAATTGTTTGAAATATGCAGTATGACATACAGTATATGACGATTCCCTTTATGTATAGAAAAAAGGACCCCTTTAGGGTTTACAATTAGCAGATACCTGACCACCCATAGTGCTTGTCCTGATAAGAATTTATAAACAGCTTAAACGGCAGAATCAGAAAAAAACAAGTAGAAAAAAAGTATCAGCATTGTAAATCCTTGCAAGCTTGAAATTGCTCAAAAGTATTTGACAAGTAACATTTAATTGACAGAATCAATTACCAGAATCTGATTTAAAACCAATAACATACGTTCCAAACTGTTCTTTCAATTTAAGAGCATGTAACAAAGGGTTAAAATCCCTGTTACATTTATTTATTTATTTACTTACCAAGTTTGTGTGCTTAACTTTTCAGATTTGTGGGTGTTGTGCAATGATTCAAACAACTCACAAATAGTAGAATAATAAATTACATTTACTTAGCTTAGATACATAGGTAAATCACAAATGATAAACTAGATAAATATAATATTACCAATTCAGGGAGCCCCTCAAATTCTGAAA